CGTTTTCTTCCAGAATTTGCTTGAAAACTCCTCTTTGCTCTTTTGCATTCCAGCACTCTATTGCATACTTCAAGTTTCGTTCAACTTCGGAAGGAATTTTACTTTTAGAAAGTGGTATTTTTACCTTCTTTTTATTTTGAATTAGGTTTTGAAAATTTAATATCTGAAGATGGCATAGTTCCTGAATATCACTAACAAACGAATGTTGAAATAACGGGTGTTGCAGTTGTGAAAAGATAATGTCTGCAGTTATTAAGTATATAAAACCTCACAAGCCATAACCAAAAATGGGTGCAACTAACTTAATTATTAGAGTAAATTTTTTTTTTTTTTTTGTTTTGAAATAAACATAAATTCGCTATTTTTTAAAATAATAATAACAATAAGATTTTTCAAAGAAAAAAACAAGATAATGAGCCATGTCTTGACAGACCAAATTTGATTATCAATGATACAATTTTAGGAAATATTACATTAGGTAATATTTTAAATAATAATAACAATAATTATAAAATAATAAGCAATAGTAAAAATTTTTAACAATAATAGTGATAATAACAAAATAAAATTATAAATAATAATAATTACTATAATAAGTTAAATGATATGTTATTTCTTATTATAATAAGCTAATGATTAGTATGGATGGTGTCACTCATACAGAAGTCTGATCAAAGAAGTGACACCATTTTTAAAAATAATATGACTAATAATAAACATTAAGACATACAACATAGACACACATAAAGTAAACTTTTTAAAAATCATATATGTAGGTAATAATAAAAGAGAGAAGAAAAACAAACAAAAAATAAAGATAATTATTATAGTAATAGAAAAAAATTATAACAAAATATTTTTCAGAATTTTTTTAAACTGATTTTGATTAAGATTAAGAAAAGATGACAAAAGAGTTTGGAGTTAGAGTTTATTGAACTCATTCACAATGCACACAAGGCTCTTGTTCCATTCACAGAGGTACTGATACACAACAGAATTCTTACCATACTTTTGAGTTTTATATGATGGTAAAATAGGTTTTCTATTATTTATATTTTGCATAGAGTGTGTATGAATTAGTCTACTTTCTATAAAAGAATTTGCAATAGAAGAAGGTAAATTTTTATTTAGAGAGTTAAAAACAAAAAGAGTATTAGCAAATTTTACTAGCAAATGAAAGGTTGGAATTTTAAGTTTTTTAAAAGAATCTGATGTACCTGATTTGAAAGGTTGAAAGTTTATTATTCTAATGGATTGGCATTGAGATGACATTAATTTGTTAACATGATAGTTGCCAGTTTGACCCCAAACTTGATAACTTGATAAAGTTTCTTGCGCAGCTCATCAATATGGAATTTCCACGAAAGATTGCAATCAATTAACAAACCAAGATATTTAATAACTCTCGTGGGATATAGTTGTTAATTATTTTTTTTTGTGATTTTAATTTCAACGTTGTTACAGTTTTTTTGTTGTTGTTACAGTTTTTTTTAAGAGATGAAAAAAAATTAGTTTAGTCTTTTCGGTGTTGAGACATATTAGGTTGGCATTTAACCAATGAACTATACCTTTAAGATCTGAATTTATATTTTTACTTAGAGAATAGTATGATTTGTTGACATGCAAGAGATTGGTATCATCTGCAAATAGATGAACCAACGAGAAGTGAACAGAGTTATTTAGATCATTAATGTAAATTAAAAACAATAGACGACCAAGAACAGAACCGTGAGGAAACTCTAACTTTGTAAGTTAAACAAATTATTTGTGATAACCACACAGTCATAATTTATACCGCAAGAACTTTTATAGTAAAAAATCATTTAACTCTTAAATAATAAAAGTTGACTGAAATAATGTTACTGATAAAAACAATATTATGTCTAGCTTTTGAAAATGTTAAAACCTTCTTCACGAAAACTTGATATATTCATTTACATTAAACTAAAAACATCAATAATAGATATCTGAATGTCCCTATAACACTTTGATGTATTGTAAGTATTTAATTGCACATTAGTGAATAAAACCAAAGTTTAAAAACTAAAATCTTTCACAACACATCCTAGCAGGTACGCTTACCACTATTAATCACTTTTTAATATAAAAAAAATCTTTTTAAAAGCTTCTTATATTTTTACCTTTTAGAGTCACATTAAACAACTATCTGATCATTTTTTTAAATATGAACAAGATAAAATTATTTTAAGTAAATTAATGAAAGATACTTGCTTACATTTATGTAGATTGCAAAATCTGTTTGAAATGTTAAAGTCTTGTTCATAAATATTTTATATCAATGCTGGCATACCATAATGGTTTGTCAGTACTAATCTTAAATATTATATTCAAATTATATGGCAACCATATGTTGTTATCGATATCTAAAATAAAATAAGTGAAACTTTAAATTTAATGTTTATAGTTAGTATTATCTAAACCACATATATTTAGTATTATCTAAACCACAATTGTGTGGTTTAGATAATACTAAATTGAACAATTTCTTAAATAATGGGAAATTTAACGTAAACATTTACAATTGGAAGATTTTGGAGTTCAAACTATTCTTGACTACATAATCAGTTTATTTAAAAAAAAAAAGTATGAGCAACTTTGTTTTAATGTACCACTTTAAATATTGTTTACTTTACAAAATAATTTTTACGCAATTTGCAATTTATTATTGTTTAGCAAATTTACAATAATAAATTTTATTTTAAGTTGTTTGAATTTAAAGTTACTTGTTATTATTAGTTATTTCTTACTTTTTACTTATACTACATCTTGAAAATAAACTCTTCACATGAAAATGAGGATTATATATAAGGGTTTTACTTCTAAACTTTAATGAAACTTTATTGAAAAATGTTATATAAAAACACAAAGAAAAAGCATTGTTATTATTAACTATTCTCTATTTAACTAATGCAAAATAAACATAAATGTAAATCATGCTTATCTCCTAAGCACACATCATGAAAATATCTGACACATTTGGTGCATTTCAACCATTTTGTTTTAAATCCCTTCCCTAAATTCTTATCAGGATGACACTTTTTTGCAAAAGCAGCATTTCCTTTTTACTGTTTTCTTAGTTAACCCTAATGCTGTTTGGCCAGAACCTCTAGGCCTGCTTCTTTTAGCAACTTTAAGTGGTGGTTTAATAAGTTTTAACCTTTGGACATCAAAAGATTCATTTATCTGTTCTTGTTGATACATACTTTCAGTCGTAAAATCAATATGATCATCCTGTACTCCAGTGACTTCATCTTTTACATTGTCATCAATATATAGACTTTCATTATTTTTGGCAAAGAAATCAATATGTTAATATTCATTCATAATTGTATTTTTATTAGAAGATTCCATATAAATATTCATTTATTTAATTTATATATATAAACATTCATTTATTTAATTATGAAAATAACAATTTATGCAATGAAATAATAGATTTTACTTTTTGACAAATTTTATCCTTAATGTTCCAAATGTCCTTATTTACTATGGATTTTCCTGTACTCTTTCTCATTTCATCAGCAATTACTTTAGTAGTAACATCAAGACGACTCAGTTCTTTAACTTTGGCCTTCTCTTCATTTGATAGCTTTCTATTTTATTTAAAAACTTTGGCATATAAAATTCGCCGAATGGTCACACACGAGCAGTGAACGCCTGAGGGAAGAAATGAAGTACATTAGAATAAAGGAGAATTATTTATTAGACAAAGCATATTTTGACAGTTGTCAAGACAAAAATAAAGATTAATAGAGGAATATTTAAAAATAAGTAAGACAAGCTATACAACCAAAACAGTACTCAACCATAATAACAATAAAAAAAAAAAAAATAATAATAATAATAAAAATAAAAATTAAAAAAAAAATAAAAACAAACAATAATAAAATATATATATATATATATAAATAAAAAATAAAAAAATTGTTTTATAAATACCAATATGAACTAAAATATACAAGAAATACATAACCAGTCAACAATTTGTAAAACAAAAAACCATTCAACAAATTAAAAATATGCTAACAACAATGAAAGGACTAATAATGGAAAAAAAATATTAATGCTAATGTGTAAACATAATTAGTGTAGTGATAAGTAATAAACATCTCCTCAGAGTCGCGTCTATTATTACTGGCGTTTCGATGAGGATCAGCATTTATAACTAGTTTATCCCGTCAGACAAACGTCATTGCCACTTATGCTTTACCCCGCGACTTACGCCTATTCCATACTGCAGTAAAAAAGGACTCACTACAAATAGCCAAAACCCAACCAACCCCAAATTTGTAAAGCACCAATATTTCTTTTGATGATATGATATAAAAAGTATAGATTTACTGAACAAACAAAAATAAAAATAACTAAATAAAAACACTTACCGTACCACCAAAAGAAAACATGAAAACAAAATAAATTAAAATTCTAATAGAAACATAAAAATATTAATCAATTTATTTTAAGAAATAAAACCAAATAGGTATTATTAGCATAAACAAGCCCAAGATAATCAGAAAGCAGTATACCTCATTAAAAAATTTTTTAATAAACAAAACAATACCCTTAAATAAACTCTAACGCTGTCATAGATACCTCATTCGAAATATGATAACCAATCAAAAGTGTAAGAAAATGAGTAACCCGCGAAACCCAAAATCATAATAATAATAGAATAATAAATGATAGCGAAAAAAAACGTTGCACAAAAACCTTAAAAATGTAAGCGACATATATGTAAAACATTAAATGAAGGATATAAAAAACATTAAATGAAGGATATAAAAATATTCTCTGAATAATAATAAAGATGAAAAGTGCATGTGAAAATTAAAACAAAGCTGAGTAATGAATGCAAGATAATATAACATGAAAGTTTCTGTACACAGTAATAATATGAAAATCAGGAGATAAGTAATATATTAATAAATATAGCAATAAGACTAAATAAATATTGTAATAAACCCAGATAATTTGAAGCCAAATGAGTGGTTAAAAAATTAGTTGTTGGTAATATAACAATGATATAAATCGTGATATAAAAACGATGTAGAAAGCGGGAAAAAAAATTGTTAAGAAATGAAGTTTTCTCTACGGTCCGAACTAAATGAAAGTTTGAGACCATATCTAAATCGAAATTTCCGAAAAGTAAAGTTTTCTCTACGGTCCGAACTAAAAGAAACTTTGAGACCATATCAAAATCGAAATTTCCGAAAAATAAAGTTTTCTCTACGGTCCGAATTAAATGTAACTTTGAGACCATAACAAAATAACAAGGAAAAACATACTTCATAAAAACAAGTCGAAAGCCGCTAGTTTATAAGAATCGCTCTTATGCTTATATGTATATGCATATGAATCCTTTAATGAAAAATTCAATTACACATGATAAACACATATAGATAACATACAAATCTGTATCTACATTTCAACAACATATCTATTAAAAGAAAATATTATCTAAATAAGGATGAGTTCAAACAAAGATAGTTTATCTATGAAAGAACAAAAAGCATACAAAAGATGTAAACAGACTATATGTGCATAAGGGTGTATAGGTGTAATGTTGACGAATTTTATCCTTAATGTTCCAAATGTCCTTATTTACTATAGATTTTCCTGTACTCTTTCTCATTTCATCAGCAATTACTTTAGTAGTAACATCAAGACGACTCAGTTCTTTAACTTTGGCCTTTTCCTCATTTGATAGCTTTCTATTTTGGACATAGTATTTGTAAAGATCTTGATCTGTAAAGCAAAATAATTTATTTAATCAGGTTGTATGATACTAAAAATTACTTTTTCATAATTCATTTAAATATCTAACTTTAAGGTTTTTAAAAAAAACTTTTCACAGCATACTTTTCATTCACATTAGTCTTTCATTGTACAACATTTTATTTATTCATTCTATTTAAGCGATTTTAAAAAATTTTAAATTAAAGTTTTTTGTAAATTAAACAGTACACTGTGAAAAGCTGAACTTTAATAACAGATTTTCAAAACTAAATATATAAAAAATGATAAAATAACATTCATTTCAAATTTTAAATATTTTACCAATAATAGATAAATAATTTTACCAATAACATGATTGTGCGTTTCTATCATTTGTTTAATAACTATTTTTGTTCTATCTTTTGTTAAAGCAGCATAAGTTTTAGCTGGACAGTTATTTTTTGCTGATCTAAAATGACAACAACTAAAAAAGTTCAAATGCTCTTGAACTTTTTAATTTTATACGTTTTTGATCTAAAAGTCATCAACATCATCATTATATGTTTTTGATCTAAAAGTCATTATCATAAAAGTAACTAATATAACAGTTTTTTTGTATTTTTAAAACAGATAATAATGCATATTTATAGGTGTACACAAAGTCTTAACTTTAAAAAACTTAACTTTAAACAACACACTTAAACCAGTAAAAAATTTAAAAGTGTGCTTTTATTTATTAAAATGATATTTTAATAAATACTCAAATTTGAAAAGATTGAAATGACCTGTTTGCAATAAAATAATAATCTATAGCTAACATTACAAAATTATCTTTTTAAAAAAGACTTAGACTAAACATATTAGTACTTTTCTTTGCAAATATCCTAAAAATACCACAAGTAGAAAAAAATAAAGATAATTTTAAAAATTTCCATAAATTTTCCATACATTTCAATGGAAATTTAGGAATTCCATGACCAAATAAAAATCAATGACATTTCCATGAATCTATGACCAGTGGCCACCCTGTTTTTAACAAGAACATTGTAAAGTATTTGTTCATTGATAAAATATATTTACAATATAGGTATGTTATAGTTAAGATTGCAAGCATTTATGTAAGTAAAATATACCCTGAATTTCTTTTCCCTATTCCTTTGCTTGAATTGAATCCACCATGTGTGCAAATTAAATTGTAAAGTATTTGTTCATTGATAAAATATATTTACAATATAGGTATGTTATAGTTAAGATTGCAAGCATTTAAAATATACCCTGAAAAAGTAAAAATATACCCTGTACTAAAAGTAAAAATATACCCAAGTAAAATATACCCTAAATTTCTTTTCCCTATTCCTTGGCTTGAATTGAATCCACCATGTGTGCAAATTAAATTATAGTACACGTATTTAAACATTTCAGGATAAGGTCTTTGGTCGAGCTTGATCTTAGCATTAGCTGTTACCGTTAGCTTGCAACCATGTTTAACCATGGGTTGGAATGTTTTATTACAATGTATTTCAATTGCTTGAAAAAATTCATCCCAGGATAAGAAAGTAAATTTTTAGCGACATTATTTTGAACGAAAAGAAAACGAGAAAATTATCGCAAAATAAAAACAAATCACATCAAAATTGTACAAAACATCAACAAGATTTAGAACACGCGTTCAAAGAAATGCGCTCCGAGCAGCATATGGCTGCTTAGAGCGCATTGCGCTTCAAGTAGCAACGGCCTTAAATTAATTCGTATTCCTTTTAAATTGATTCGTATTTCTTTTAAATTGATTCGTATTTCTTTTAAATTGATTCGTATTTCTTTTAAATTGATTCGTATTTCTTTTAAATTGATCCAGAAAAGGTGTAGTTTTTTAAATTATAAATGTGTTTAAAAAAAATGGTAAAGAAAAAATTGAGAATTAAAAAAATTAAAGTGTGGTTTTAATATTCTCGAGTGTGCGGTTTTATCATAATGTTGCCTAAAACCGCATACTTTTTTTTTTACCTTTATTATTTTGATTGTTTGATTTTTTTTTTTAAATATTTATTTACATATTCTTCAGTATTTTTTTTTAAACATCTATCTAATAAAAAAATATAAAAACAGTTATTGAATTTTAATTGATAATTGTTTTGACCCGGTTTTACATGTATTTTTAGGGCGTATTGCATTTTTCAAGTAGTTTTAACAATTCAAATATTAACTAAAATAAAATAAAAATATACTTTCGAGTTGCTGCTATCGCCCACCAACTGGTGTAATGAATTATTTTAATACTTTTTAAAATGAAGTTTTTTTTAAAGAAAGTAACCACAAAAAAAAAAATAAACTATTTAAATGGAGATTTATTTGGATTGTTGACAGTATCACGTCAAATACAACTTCAAATGACTTATTTAAAAACGGAGCGTTTCCGATAATAAACCGACAAGAATTACTGAATCAACGACTTCATTAATTGACAATATCATAAGAAACGATATTTTTAATCATTCTCTTAAAAAAGGATGCAACTAATGTAAATAACTATCACCCTACATCTGTTCTTTCTGTATTTTCAAATATTTTAGAGAGAATCTTATAAAACAAAATCAACACTCATCTTTCTGAAAATAATATTTTATTTAATAATCAACATGGTTTCAAAAAAAAAATAAAATCCACAGAGCATGGAAAACTTCAGTTTACACGTAGTATTAACGATGCGTTCAATAAATTTAAATATACATTAGGAATTTTTATTGATTTATCAAAAGCTTTTGATACTATTGACCATCAAATTCTTATTAAAGCTCGAATTATATGGAATCATAGGAGTCGAGTCAAATCACCAAAAAAGTTACAAAACGTTACTTGTGGCGTGTCACAAGGTTCTATACTTGAACTTCTTCTATTTCTTATATATGTCAATAATCTCCATAAAGCATCCAGCCTGAGGACAATAATATTTGCAGACGGCACAAATTTATTTTTATCCCATAGCAACATTACTATATTATTTTAAATTATGAATTTAGAACTTATTTGAAACTATGAACTTAGAAGAAAAAATAAAGTTTCTTACTAGTTCAAAGTAAATAAATTTTCAGTAATTATTGACAAAACTAACTGAACTCTATTTCACCCACTTTCCAAAAAAAAACTAATACCAGACGAAACGTAATCTATATTCATTGATAATATTCAAGTAAAAAGAGTAAAAACTACTCAGTTTTTAGGACTATATATTGATAAAAATCTTACATGGAGACAGCACATCGAAAATTTAAGCAACAAAATTTCAAAAAGTAGAAGAGTATTATACAAATCAAAAAGCTGTTAAAACAAGCGCACTTTAATGCAACTATATTATTATTATTATTTTTCTTTTTTTATTAAGGTGCCCCAGAAAAACCTAACGGTCTTGTCACAGAGCACCGCGGAAGTGCATTTGACCAGGAAGTTCACGCCTCTTTCCTTACCGTGACGTGAAATATGTCCAAAGCTCGTTTCGAAACTGGATCTCCCGCTTATAAAGCAAGCGCTTTAACCACTGCGCCACGGCCGCATATTATTCACTTATTCACTGCCGTATTATTGCGTGGGACAGTATTAACAAAACAAAACGAGATCCTCTACATCGTCATCAGAAATATATAGCACGTTTAGTTGATTCTTGGGATCGACGAACTCATTCAAAGCCTCTCTTAACAAAAATGAATGTTTTAAACATATATTAACTTAACGTATATAATATTCTTTGTTAAATGTAAACAAAATTATCTCCGTCTCCGTTTCATAGTTTATTTATAACAAAACAAAAAAATAAATACGATCTACGATATGATGATTTTTTAATGCAACCATTTTCGATAACTAATCATTGTAAATTTTGCGTATCATTTTGTGGACAGTATCTTTGGAACAAAATTGTCTTAAATAACTTTGATTTTTCTTTTGAATGGTATTACATATCTTTTAAAAAAAGTTGAAAGAAATAGTTTTAAAATTGACAATATACAAATGTACTTTTAAAACCTTTTAAAATTATTTTTATCTTTTATTTATATCGATTTATATCACTTGTGATGTTTAATTTTTCTTGTTATGAATAGTAACTCAATTATTTACAATATGCAAACCTATATTGCTATTATATTATCTGTCAAATTAATCTTTACGAAATTTTTTGTAAACTTTTAATATTTTTGTAATTATTTTTAATTTAAATTTTGTTATTCTTTTATTATTGCAGAACACTTATTTTTTTATTTACTACGTAAAATATTTAACTTGTAAAAATGCTAAAACGTCTTTTTACAGCGGTACTGGACAACAAGACCATATGGTCTTCGACGAGTTTCTGCATTCTTTATATATATATATATATATATATATATATATATATATATATATATATATATATATATATATATATATATATATATATATATATATATATATATATATATATAGTAAATATCTTTACTTGTAATTGTTTATATTTTGTAATTTTCGCTTGTAAATTTTATGAAATATTAACGTGATGTTTTAAAATGTAATAAAGAACAATAACAACAATAACTAAAAAATTAAAATGTCATAAACAATTTCCTGGTTTTTAATGCGACCACAGCTACTTAATAAATGTTTTCATTATTCAACAGTTAAGTATTATTTATTACATTTTATACACTATTCAACACCTTATATTGCGGAAATTGCATTCTAAAATGCAGGGGGGAATTCTAAAATAAAGGAACGAAATTTAATGCTCATTTTTAAATTTTAAGTGAACACAATATTTTTATATCTTCTGTATTTAGAAGAAACAGAATGCCACTGCATTGGTCCTAAATTTTTTTTCTGTATTTTTTAACCTACTATATTTTGTTTTTCTGTTGTTGTTTTTTTTACTTTTTTTTTTGTATTTGGGGTGGTTATCAATTGTTAGGAGAGGTTGATATTTGAAGGGGTGGGGAGAGAAGTCGTAGATTTGTTGTAAAAATTAGAGATTGAGTTCATTCCTATAATATGGCAGGGGAAAGGTACAACAAAGGCGTAAGAGAGGAGGAGGGGGGGGTGCAAATGAATAAATCTTTTTTACCATAAATATCTCACCAAATCGGGGATTTTTTTTTCCTATTTAAAAGCCAAATTCAGTTTTAACCGACCGAGTCTCAAATTTTCTAAATTACCGACAAAACCGACAGAATGATGTAAACCTGGGAAGGTGCCCACACCCCAGTCGGTACGGCCTTGGCAGGGGAGATTATTTTTGATGTGCGATTATTACTGCGTACTACCTATAGCATGCAGCACATAAAAAATATAAATTAAACGTTCAATAAGCGTACCAAATTTGATTTATTGACTAAAGGGCTTTACTTGTACATTCCATGCTGATTGGGTGTTTATAAACAGTTGCAACAACATCATAGACAGTTGTCTCCAAGCTGAAAAAAAATAAAAATAATCGAACTTTGCTTAAAAATTTCTTTTTGAATAACATTTAGTTCGACTAGGCTCTAGGATTCACAATTAGTAAAGTGTTGAATTACGAGAAAATAATATTTATCGCCTTAATAAAGCTTCCTCGAGTGTAAAATTTTTATGCGAAAGATTATTTCTTTTTTCAAGCACTACATCTTGCTTTAGTCGACTAAATTTAGTTACACTAAATATTTAGTCGACTAATTTGAGTTAACTATAAAGTTAGTCGACTAATTTTAGTTAGCTAAAAAGTTAGTCGCGTAAATTTAGTTAACTAAAAAGTTAGTCGGGTAATTTTAGTTAACTAAAAAGTTAGTTGGGTAATTTTAGTTAACTAAAAAGTTAGTCGCGTAATTTTAGTTAACTAATAAGTTAGTCGACTAATTTTAGTTAACTAAAAAGTTAGTTAACTAATTTTAGTTAACTAAAAAGTTAGTCGACTGAGTTTAGTTAACTAAAAAGTTAGTCGACTAATTTAAGTTAACTAAAAAGTTAGTCTACTGAATTAAGTTAACTAAAAAGTTAGTCGACTAATTTAAGTTAACTAAAAAGTTAGTCAACTAATTTTAGTTCGACTAAAAATTTAGTTAAGTATTTTTAGTTAGACTAAAACTAACCTTAACTCCCACCCCTACGTATTAATAGACGGACGTCTATAGATCTGAGGCGCCGCGAGTAAACAAAAACATATGCGAGCTACTTTTAGCGTCGTTTTCCTAAATAATTTATAAAAGTAAATCAACGTTTTTCCGATAATTTCGCTTTTTTAACTACTTTTTTTAAAAAGTGCAATTACCTACAAAACTCTAACTTTTTTTTTTAATTAATGCATTTTAGTTATCAGAAATAGCTCATGTGTTTTAAAATACCAAATTTGATACGTGAACGCTTTTTAATAAGAACTTATTATTAATAAAACTTAGACGTCAAAAATCATATTTTTGTGAAAAAGTGATATTTAGCTTGTAAGAATGAATACTGCAAAAGGAAACGAATTTTTTAAATGTTGTAGGTAAAACTGTAGATCATATATAGATCGAACTATA